CCCCAAAACCCCAAAACCCCAAAACCCCAAAACCCCATTTCCATAATTCCAAACTGAACTAATAATGTTTAACCCTAGCAGCAGTAGAAAAAGACAGAAAAACCAGGAGAATGATTCTTCAAGTCCTCCAAGGGCTTCAACTACTGTACAACAACAGAAGACTCCTGAACAGATCGAGTGGGAGTCAATGAGCATGAAGAAATAAAGAAGATGTGCTGAAATTCACCAGAGCTAAGATTAAAGTAGAGACTGTTTTCAAAGACCCATTAGAAAGAACATTTTGAGATGATGAAGATGAATATAACATACAAGGAGAGCCCAGAGGTGACGGGTTCGGAACGTTTGATTTTAAACAAGGATATAAGATATTCTATAATGTGTTAGATATTTCTCATGAGTAAGATAATTCATAGTCAGTTTATAGCATTCATGACAAGGATATGAACATCTTCCTCCAATACTTTTGTAAGATCATGAAATCATTTTCAGGGACTATGGTGCCAATGCTTCGAGTTGCAGACTTAAAATGATTGTATGAGCTTCTAGCCAATGATCTGAAATTCAGATTTGAGTGCAAATGGAACAGATGTAAATTTTCACTCTGAAATATAGGTACAAAATTTAGAAAGAAGCTGATATCAAGAGTAATAGATTATTTATATTCCTTCTATGATTATGAAGATTACTCGCACTCACTACCTGAGGACTCAAATAAACAGGTAAGTTAATGCCAATAAACTTATATTAAACCCTATGTCTGACCATTATCATAGAATCAACCACTTGCAAAGTAATCTTCTTTACTAACATCCAGACTCTCAGACTATATCTATCTGCGTCAAAAGAGCTTAGCAAAGCTAATCCCCAATAAGAGAAATAGGTTCGCTCTGGCCTTCAGAGCCCCTCCTAAAAATTAAGCTCAAAGAAGCTATAGAAAACTGCCAGCTTGTAAATTCTTGCTAAACCTTTAGCCTTCGATGAAAGCCTGAGCAGCAAAGATGAATAGAGAATTCAAGCGAAGAATTTTTCATCAGAGAAATCACTCTAAGAGCTCATCCAGGACTCGTCAGAGTCCTGAAAAGACCTCCAAGGAATCTTCTGCTTCTAGAGTGAAAAATTATTTAAGGGACATTTCTACACCTTTTGTCAATAAATCAGATAAGAAGTCTCAGAATCAGGTGCATTTTCAAGATGCAAATGTAAACATGGAGCCTGACCAACCCAAAACAAGATTTCTCCGTAAGGAAGACCTAGATGATCCAGAAATTCAAAAACTGGTCAGAGCCACAGCTGCGAAATACAAGGAGTTCGGAGCCAGAGAAGCTATCAAGACTGCTCTGGCTGAAATCAGAGTCCCTGATAACCAACCAAAGAAGAAGCCAAAGTCAAAATCAGAGTCTAAATCAAGAATAAAAAGAAGAGATCACGAGCGTGATGAAAGAAGATCAGATAAAAAGAAATACCCTAAGTTCACAGAGCAATTTTTCCAAAATCCAAAAGAGAGGCTCCAAAGAGTATTTGATGCTCCAATTCCCTCGAAAGTAAAGACGCCAAAGAAGAAAGCCCCTGAAAAGACAGTAGTGGGAAGGCCTCCGTCTGGAGTGAGCCTGGAAGAGATAGAGAAACAGGTGGAGAAGGAGGAAGAGCTCCCTCCTGTCGAACTTGACCTTGAAAAACTCAAACGGGATGAAGAGAGATATGGACTTTTTACTGAAATCTATGAAAAAGGTAAGATAGATCGATAAAACTCCTTTTAGGCATCTTCAACTTTGAAGGCAAGGATACTCTAGAGCAAAGAATGAGAGACCAGCAAAGAGAGTTTGAAGAAAAAGAGGAGATGGAGAGAAATAAGCATGAAAATAAGCTTTTGAGGAACATTTTCATGGATGACCAACATAATAGAGAAAGAATCCCATATCCTGAACTGCTTTACTTTGACCACGCCAAAGAAAATGAAGATACACAGAAAGATGGCTATAGATTGATACCCATTGATCATGGTACTCTCAAGAGAGAAGAGTACTGGAACAGCATTGATAGGTAATGAAATAGAGAAACTATACTTAATTCTTAACATTCCACTCTAGCGTCCCAAGATTTTTCACTGAAGTGAAATGTAATGATCCGTACTTTACAGTTCCAGAGGATGATTATAGAAGAAAAATCACACAAAATGAAACAGTAGAGGATTATTTGACTTCGAATTATATTACGCCTCCCACTGAGCATAGAATTGAGCCCCCTAAACCAAAGGTAGTCAAGCCTAAACCTAAATGGATTGAAATGAAGGAAAAATTAGAAAAATTGAGAGAAAAAGACGAAAAATCTAAATTATCTCAAACTCAATCTCCTAAACTAAACACCAATCAACTAAAACAATTGCGCTCATTCATGCAAGGACCCCACTCAAAAGCACCAGCATCAATGAACTCTAAAACCCATAAATACCATCACTGGGAACATGGTATGACCAAGGATGAATGGGAAAACTCTGCTGCCAACCCCAGAAAAGTCCTAAAACCCAAAGTACAAAAACCTTCAGTCTCCTCTTCAGACCAATCCAAAAATTCTCAATCCAAGTCAAGCGGTAGATTCAACTACCAGGCCACAGATACAGTCCCGAAGCAAGACTCGGCTAAGACCAATGCTAAATTCAGGGATTTCCTAAAGAACTTCAGGAAAGAAAAGAAAAAGTAACTAAACTCAACAACATTCATTCAATTTCAGCCTTAATTTAAGGGGTTTTGGGGTTTTGGGGTTTTGGGGTTTTGGGG